AGGAAGGAAGGAAGGAAGGAAGGAAGGAAGGAAGGAAATGAGTAAGTTCAGAGGCAAGCCAGATAAAATATTCTGAAGTTAAGACTGTATTTTCTAGGAGCTATTATTTGGGATTTAGTTCCACTGAATTATGTGAGTTTACTTTTGAACAGATACAGTACGTATAGAAATGGACTGGGACACCTTCAGTTTCCAGAGGAGAAATAGGCTGTAACTGTAATAAGTGCCAATATTAGAATTCTGGGTAGATGAGTGAGCATCTTTATAGGTACCGTATTTCAGATTTATGTTGTTTGTTTGTTTTTAAAGTCCCTCAAAGGAGCTAAGATTTTAAGAACAATCTGAACATAGTTGTAAATCCTTATTTCTTCTGTTTCCAGAATTCAGATGTAAATGCAAAACCTTATGTGGCAAAATTAGCGCCATCCATTAGCACCCCAAATGTATCAGCTCAAGGATACTTCAGAGTTAGTGTTTAAGAAAAAGTCAAATAAGGAGAGATAACCCAAAACAGTCCAATGAAGATTATGTGTGTTTCCTCATTTGAACTTGACCATGACACAAACATGCCCTAATAACTTTTTTTTGGGGGGTGCTGTTTCTGCATAACGTTGCCTTTCTCTGGTTCCCAGCCCATCTCTGAAGCAGCCTTATCTGTTTCAGTGTTACAGCAATGTTTCCCCCTTTATTCTACATTTTCTTCTGTGGGTGCAATATCCGATATGCTTCACCGACCTACGTCTCAGGGATGTAGTCAGACGCCCCTTAGAGGAGGGATCAACCTGTCCTCTATTGGCTGCTTTGGGCTGGGATAGCCACGCCCTCTCTCCTTCAGTCCCTAGGCACTGTCCTCCAGGAGCTTTCTGCTTTACGCAGGGGGAGAGGCCATCTCTTTCAAGCTGTAGTCTCCCCATTGCTGCTAGGACTCCCAGCTGATTCCCAGCATCCTGAGGGCACTGGGGGATGCTGTGCTGAAAGAGCACTCAACCTATCTTCAGAAGAAGTCTGACTATCAGCTGGCAGGCACTGAGGGGGGTGCAGTGAAGCAGGAGACACAGCTACAGACCCGCCAGGGCCTGGCAATTGTTCATCAGACTTTGTAACAGAAGCTTCCCCAGAATTCCCAAGCTAGTATGACTTGCTGAGAGTTCTGGGAATTTAAGTCCAGACATCTGGAAGCTACAACACGCTGCCACACGCTACAGCAAGTTCTCTATGATATACTGTGCCTGATATACTTTAAGAAGCAAGTTCAGTTGTGGCCATCTCTCTCTTTCTCTCTAATTGGTGTGCGGGGTTTTGTCTTGGGGTTTTAAACCTTGCTAAAGTAGGTGAATCTTGGAGGTTCTGGTAATCCAGGACAGTGGTATTTGTAAGTGATTTAGACTGTGGACTTAATGATCTTATGAATGAAATCTCCTTAGACATTGAATGTATTTCTAGGTTTTCCTGCCAAATTTCAGGAGTGGGATCTAGGGACCACAAAATTGGGACTGGAAGCCACAAGCAGGTTGCCCATGGTTACGGTAACCATTTGCCATTTGGTCATTCAACCAGAGGCTTCTAAAAAAGACTGCCGAGATTTCTTCTATCATCCTATAGACAAAAGCAGCTGAGCATCTCCTGAACATTGGACATGTAGCCCTTTTCCCCTTGTTTTTCATACTTAAATAAAACATTTCATTTCTTTATTTTTACATTTTAAGAAATTAAAAAGGACAATTCCTTCAGATTGAAATAATTGCTCATTTTGCTGGTTCATTCTAACCCATCTTCCGGTCTCTTCCCCACCCTCCCTTCTCATATTGTGTTGATGCTTACACTGAAAATCCTCAGGCAGGGACACGCCTCTCCCCCCACCTCGCCCCAGGCTTGATGCCGCACTGAGTTTATTTTGAGCACCATAGAAATAAATAATAACAGCATTCATCATCATCATCTCTAGGTCAAGAAACAGATCAGCCCCCAAACAAAGATAATATTGTGGCCAATCCCATATTATTTCTGATTAACCATCTGAATCCTGAGATCTGCTGGAAGGAAGGAAGGAAGGAAGGAAGGAAGGAAGGAAGGAAGGAAGGAAGGAAGGA